CCCCGAGCAGAGCAGGGCGGAGCTGAGCCGAGCGGAGCGGAGCCGAGCCGAGCCGAGCATGGGGCCGCTGGCGCTGCTCGGCCTCCTGGGGGCCGCCGCCCTGGCAGGTGAGCGGGGGCGCGGCCCCCCCGAGGGGAGGGCGGCCGTTGAGCTCCCTCAGCGGCGGGTCCGGCGAAGCCCGCCCTCGCCGTGAGGGAGAGGCGAGTGACAAGCCGCACCGGGCGCGGGGTGGTTTGGGGGGGCGGGGGTGGAGGGCTTCGCCTCTGAAGAGCGCTGCCGGAGGGGTGACGCCATCGGTGGGTGTGTGACGTCATGCCCGGCCCGGCCGCGTCACCGCGGGGTCGCCCCTCCGGCCGGCCCGGCGCGAGGGAGGGCCGGGGCCGGAGGAAGGCGCCAGCGCCACAGCGGGGCTCCCGCCGGGCTGCCCGGAGCGGCGCCCCGGCTGCCGGCAGCCCTCCGCTCGCCGCTGCCGGGCGGACGGCAGCCAGCCTGTGCCCTCACGCTGTGCGAGGGCCAGTCGGCTGCTTTCGGTTTATTTTTCTCCCCCCCGTAGAGTTTCCTTCCACGAAGCCTTCTCGGTGTAATTTTATTCGAGCCGCGCTGCTGGATTTTTGCCAGCTAGCTCTCGATAGTGGGAGATGATTGTCAAGTAGCAGGTCTGCAGCTTTAACTAACAGAAAATTTTCTGGCGTGCGGCATTAAATATTAAAACCACACGGCGAAATGAAGATTAAACACAAGAGCATGAGGTGATTGCTTGGCTTTATATCTTTTTATGCATACTACGCCATTTCTTGAAAGAATCGGTGTCACTCTGAGTTGAGTAATTGGGCTTTAGTTCTATTAGAGGTCTCCACATGGAAGCGCTTCTGGGACTTGTACAGAAACTCTGTAATGAAGTTGGCTACCTTCAAATGCCTTTATTGTAATCAAAGGGGAGGGTGGAAGATGGCAGGAGAGACCCCAACCCAGAGAAGCTCACTGGACTTACTCCACAGACCTCATGGGGATTTCTTACCAAATACTTTTTCCTGTTTATGCCCTCAAACAGGTCAGGTACCTCTTAACATCCTTTTTGGCTCTCTTGCTTTCAAATGTCAGGCAGAATCAATGAACTAAGAAGTTTGTTTGGGGCTGGGTATCAGTTAAACATTAACTTCAGGAACCTTCTAGTGCTCCTTCTGCATATCAAGATACCAAAGTTACTGTGATCTTTCCTAGGAAGGGTTTTTGCTGTCATTTTGATGAGCAATGGCACTGCACTGAGACATTGGCATTGATGAAACAAAGCCATGTGGGGATTTCATCAGGCACCCGCCAAAAGTTCTGTCCCAATCATGGAGATGCAAGCAAACGCCATGTGAATTTGTCTTGCGTTTCTCATCCTTTTTCATTACCTTCATCAGCTTTCAGCACTTCTGCAAAATCAAATAATCTGATTGTAACTACCTGGGCAGATTTGGTTCAGGAGGGGAAAGCAGACCCAGGGCTTTGTTTTCCTTTGTGGGTCTGTGGTCTGGTTTTTCTGCACGGGCAGGGGAAGGGTTTCCATCTCGGTGTGTGCTCTGACTTTGTTTCTGCAGCGAAACCCTGCAGCTTTACCGTCTGCTGTGTGCCCACAAGCCCAGTGGGTGGGTGCCCTGCTGCCTGTGTTGGTGGTGCTGGGGTGATGGCCTGACCTCTCCTGAGCACATGTGGAGAGGAAGGCAGAGGTGTTGGCCAGCCATCTCCAGCTGGCAGGTGGCCCCAAGGGAGCTCTTGCCAGCTGGCACAGGCTAGTGCTACCGGCACCGGTGTAAAGTGGGGCATGCTGGATCCACATGAGCTTCCTATCTCAGCTCTGACAGAGCAGCTGCCTCAATAGATTATTTCAGACTCTGGAATGGATTGGATACTCATTTTGTTCCTCCAAGCAGGTTAATATGACATATGTCCAATACCATTCGTCCAATACCATTCTTCTGACATTGTTAGGATAGCCTAATGCTGCTTCTTTGTCTGTGTGCGTCAGCTTTCATCGCTAACTGAGCGCTTGCTTAATGGTCATTAATCTGTCTGTAAATCTCCTTGGAGAGATGGGAGCTTGGGAATGACAAGGCAAAGGCAGTGAGTACAACCTGACTTTATATTCCTGCACTACTGACATAGCGCTTGAGAGGCAGCCCAAAGCTGGCATCTCTAATAGCAAAAGACGTTCCAAAGTTTGTTCTGTGCTTTATCACATCAACTGGGTGTAACTCCCAGGAGGTGTGCTGTGGGAGTATCACTAAAAGGACAAAATCAGACTTTTGCCCTTGTGTGTGTCGTGATTTCTCATGGGCTGGAGGACCAGAGGAGCCTTGTCAAGAAGAGGCAGTGAAGTGGGTTGTCCCCTCTGCTTACATATAAGTAGTGATTGGGAGCAGCTTGTGCCGTAAGAGCAGCATCTCCAACCCCTGTGGGACTGGGAGAATGTCCTTTTAGTGAATAACACTTTTTTTTTTTTTTTAGTAGAAGGGACTTTGCTGCCAGTCTCCTGCCCCCATGTGTGTGCACATCCTTATCTTCTGTGCTCAGGTTAGGCTGCACCAGCGTCAGCATTGTGCAGTGTGGTAGTTATTCACGTACTAGGTTAGTAAATAAAGTAGCCTAAAGCCTGGCTCAGTCAGCACTGAATGCAAAAGATGGGGGAGAGGGTTGGCTCTGTTAAGCACCATCTCCCACACACACCACCTGGCATTCTGGGGAAATGATGGAGTAGGGATGTAGTGCTATTTTAGGGGAATCCCTTCTGTGCTGTCCTCGTGTGGGTTCTCTTCTCTGATCACAGTTTTATGCACAGAGAAGAGATGGGGGCTGGAGAAGCACATTCCTACATACGTGTTTCGGGGAGCAAAAATAGAGGACAGTAGAAATATCAAGAGAGTTGTTATTGTATTGTGTTCAGTTATTACCCACAGAGTCAGTGCTCAAGAGGATGTCTGCTTCCTCTGTAGACACAGAAAAGAAAAGTTTTGCAGCTTTCAATAGCACAAGGCTACATGCTCCTGTCTGCTCTGCAGGAAACTTCCTTGGGGCAGTGTTAGTTTTTCTTACGCTGTAAGGTAAACTGACCCCCTTTGTCTCCATAATCTGCTTTGTGTTCATCTGTTACAGAAGATCTCTCACTGTCCCAACCAAGCAGTATTGCAGAGAGGGTGATAGATGTATTTAAGACTATCCTGACTTGTGTAAGAACTTCAGAACTGCACCCCAAGCTGTACATTTGTGTACTGTGATTATATATGATGCGGTAAGTCTGTGAAGCCAGGATACAATAAACCTTGCTTCTGCGTACTCATGTGTGGCTGGCAGACTTGCTTAACTTCACTTCTGCAAATCTCACGGTGGATGAGAATTGACACGGTTTATTAATAATGCACAGCAGCCAAGCTCGTTAACCAGCTGGAGACATATGGCAGCAGTGATGGCCAAATAAAGCAGCATGGAGGTTTCATTTGCAACTGCTTCTTTCCAAAAGCAAATACCTTGGACCAGGTATAGTAGAACTGGTGCAAGGGGGGGTTAATTCCCCCCCGTGTCCCCAGGGGGGGGGGGGGGGGGTGTGCTACTTCCTTCCAGAGTAGTGTTTTCCACTGGGATTTTTTTTTTTTTGCTTATTTTTTGGGGTGATAACGGACCACTTGGTGAATTGAAATTTTCCTGTCCCTTCTGGCTCTGTCCTTCCCTCAAGGAGCTGCCTCCTATCCAAGCGAGACAGGATTTCTCCGGTAGGATTGGGACAGTAGTTGCTTTAAAGCCTTGAAGAATGGTCTCCTACTGGGGACGTGGTGGTGGGGCAGCTGGAGCCCCTTGCAGAAGCCAAAAGGTTCTTGGGGTGCAAACGGGCCTTGCTTGTTTCCTGGTTTTTTTACCACCAAATGGGTACAACTACATGAAGATCTGACTTGCAGTAGAGCTCCGGTCTTGGAATTTAAGTATTGCTTTCTATTTTTTGGTGTATATTCTTTTTGTGCTAGAAATGTCGACCTGCCTCTTCTCTTGTGCTAGGCTGCAACTTTACATTGCTTTTCCATCCTGAATAAAATAAAGTTGTAATGCAAAATGTGTCCGGTTTACTGACCTGCCAACCCAAAACTCAAGCCATCTCATCAGCCCAATTTGAGTGAAGACTCCTGTCAGTGATGCTTGTTGCTAGGATTAATGAGTCTGTAATAATTTGTTTTTCTTCTAGGTGTCAGTGCAGTTCCAGTGGAAAAAGACCATATTGAAGAAATGGTGAGTAGCTGTATGTCAAAGCAGATTTCAGAAAATATCATCTCTCCATGTTTTGTCTTTAAACTCTCAGGGTAATGTTTTTTTTTCCTAAGGGTAGTCTCTTAAGAGATCATGGGTGATGTGGAACTGAGAGTCCCTTTAGCTGTCAGAAGATACCTGCATGCACTTCAGTGCATTTGATGAAAATGGAGGCTGGCTTACTGTGTCAGTGTGGTACTTTTGAAACTCTATGTTGTACAGCTGCCCAAAAAATTATCTGAAATATTATTTGATAGTACACGTTATTGGACTGTAAAAAGTGAGATGGCAACTTTGAAGAAAGATGAAATACCTACAGTTACCAACTATGTAACAGACTTTCTAATGCAGTCGTCCCATCTCCTGCTTTGGAAAGAGATTCTTAACCTGTTTGATTAAATAAATGCCATTAGCTGCCTTCAGTACCTGTAACCTGACATCAGACCCTCTCCACTGGTTGATAGTGTGATCATTTAGATTAGTAAACACCTGGTAATAACTAAAAACAGTTAAAAGACAAATGGCTATATAAATGTTTTATCATCTCCCCCCATCCAGCTGCCCAAATTGTGAGCCTGAGACTCTTGTACCCCTGACGATCTGAGCACTCGCCTCACAACCAACAACTTCAATGCTTGAAAATCATTTTGCATGAATTTGTACAGAAGAGCTACTTTAGTAGTGCTTAGGATTAGAGGAGGTTGTGTGACTTTCCTAAATGATTAAATTTTCTCTGCTTCCAGAAGACTATCCAGTTGAATGTTAAGCACTAAAAGAGGCAGGGCTTACAGCACACACACATGAAAAACTGTGGAGCATGTCACTTACAGAGGATATAAAGGCGGTTTTGGTTTATTGTCAATCCAAGCAATACTTCTGGTAACACCTTTGCAGCATCCTCATTTGGACAGATCCTATAGGATGATCCTCATCTTTTGAACATGTGTTGTGTTGGTTATTTTTTTTGTAAGGTGCTGTTACCACACGTTGTTTGACTCTCTTTTGTACTGAATAGGGTATTTTAATATTTAAAAATGTACAAAAGGAGCCTGTTCCCTATTGAAACAAAAGGGGAGATAAAAAGAGCTAATGACTATCCTCTTAATGGTATGGGAGTGAGGAGCAAAGCACTTGTTGCCCAAATGCACAGGAAGTTGTGGTAGAGCTGGGGATTACTCAAAACTCATAAATATTAGCCTGAATTCTCATCCTAAACTAGCTTTCCTCACTAACTGGGTCAGAAGTAGGATTTCTATTTTTGCCATGAGAGTTTTTTCTCCTATTTTGTTTCTTCCAGGTAACACGGTGCATAGTGGAAGTTCTGTCCAATGCTCTGTCTAAGCCAAATGCACCACCAATTAATCCTGAATGCAAAGAAATCTTGAAGAAGAGTAAGTACAACATTATCTGTACTTGTGAAAGGAATTTGGTAGATGGATTCTCTCTTGTGTTGGAGCTGGTGAACTGTTACTTCAGCCCGTGTGAAACTGGTGCCTCCAAATGTCAGATTCTGATTTCCTTCTGTTTAGTCTGACTTGCTCAAAGACCAAACAGCCTGACCTGGTAATTGTCAGGGATTCTTGGCTAACACGTGTGGCTCTCTACTTAAGCCACCTGGAGAGTCTGAGAGGACTAGAGAAGCTCTTTAGGTCGCCTGAGAGGTCAACAAATGTGACCGTGTTTGGACCACATGTTGAATGCATCCCAGAGCATAAGAACTGGCCTCAAATAACTGCCACTTAAATCAGTGAGGTTCCTGCACCTGGTAGCAACTGAATCCATGCCCAGCTCAGGAGAGGGAAGTCTTTTGCTAAGCCCAGAAAGGATTAAGTTTGTGGTACTGATTTCAGAGGTCTGGCGACGTGTGCTGAAAGCTCCATGTGGGAGTGGTCATTTCAGATGAGCTCATTCCTACAGCATGGTGCTTAGCTGCCTCGATGTCGAGGTGTAAGCCTGTTTGCATGTTCAGTTACTGTCTGTAAGTGAAGTGTGGTTAAGTTTGATGCTGTGCCAAACTGCAGAACACACATCTTTCTTTTCTGCCCAGTTAAATTTATTTGATTACAGAAGAATAAAAAGGCTCTTGAACTTACCTGCCAGCAGGAAGCAATAATGAAACCCATCTGTCTCCTGCTTGTTTATAGAGGGAATAATGCATGGCCCTAATACAGTGATCAGAAAAGGGTGGATTTGGGCCTTTGGGAATGCATATATTTGTATCTAACTTGGTCCCAAATTTCTAGGAGATGCTGAATGCCATCAGGCTTTGTTTATGACATTGTTAATTTCAGAAAAAAACTGTATATTTGCCATGTTTTGGAAAATGAAAAGACACTTACTGGAAAGAGGGTAAGGACCATATTTTTGACAGATCGCCTCCAAGAATATTGGATAATGAGAAGCTTTTCAGAAATAATGAGCTATTTTTAAATCTGTGCAGCTGTTGTCTGAAAACTTTTAGTTTGTGATCTATTTCTGATGTTACTCAGACACAAGTGGAAATATACTGTTACCATTGTGGTCAGAGTCAGACTTGCATTTAGCATTTTGGAAATAGTGGAAGGAGCATGATTTGATTAAACATAACTATTGCAAAGTAACAGATTTCCTTTTTTTTCAGTCAACTTAGAACTTTTAAAATTTGCTAAAAGCCCTGGATATTTTGGAGTAGCTTGAAATAGATGGTTGTCTTTTTTGTGAATAAGCGTATGTGATGGATAAGGTCTGAAATTCAAAGAACTGAACACAAATCCAGATCCCATTGATTTTTAATGGGAATGAGAGTTAATTTAATTCAAAACTAAAAATGTGATAACAAACCAAGAAAAAAGCCAAAGAGGAAAAATTATTCTGGAAATTTAAGTGGAACTTTTAAAATGCCTAATTAATTGAAAATTAGTTAATGCTTTTCCAAGCAAACATACAAAATATTAGAAAATTACTAATTTTAAAAGCAGAATTAAAAAATTAATTCTGTCCAAACCTTCCTGCTACTTTGGGAAGCCAGTTATCTATTTAAACTGAAATAATGCTTCAGTGGAGAGTTGGATTACTTCATTATGCTGCTTTTGTTATTGTAGGTGATAGAAATGACAGAGAGAGAAGCGAAAACAAACAACTTGAAGTGAGGCATTTGAAAGACCTAGCAGAGATTGAAAAACATCATACTGGGAGTGTGGAGAAAGAACAAAGTCAGGCAGAAGAGGAATCTAAAAAGTACTTGAAAGGAAGTGATGAGGAGAAGCTTGGTCACAAGGAAGGTAAAAGCAAGGAAGAGGAGGATGGACTCCACACACCAATTCGAGAAGAGAGACTTCATACAGAAGAAAAGAAACACTATCAGGAAACTGGAAGAGAGGAGGAGAAGAGCTACCACAGTGAAGAAGAAGGCAAAGAGAGCAAGCGTCATGATGAAGAGGTAGAGCATGCTGTTCTCAACAAGAAGTCCCACTCTGGAGGCACAAGCACAGAGGAGTTCCCTGATGGGAATGATCAGCGCCCCATGGGCCACTGGCACTCGGAGGAGGGAATGCAGAGCCCGAAAAGAATCCATGAAGGTGAAGAGGGAGAGGCAGAGGAAGAAAGAAGTGAAAAATACCACCATGAGTCTAAGGAACATGATTTCTCCCATCAGCAAGAGCATGAAGAATTGGATGAGAGTGAAGAAACAGAGGAGGAAAAGCAACCCTACAAACCCAAACGTTATCATGGGAAGCATAGAATGGGTGACTTCTCTGAAAAGAAGAGGGGCCATGGTGGTGAGAAAGAGGAACTAGCTGAGGACTCAAACACAGAGGAGGCCTATCTCTGGGACAAGAGGAACCATCATCAGAAACATCATGAAGAGTCTGAGCAGCAGCGTGAGGAGAAGAGTGGTTATCGTGGGAGGCATGGGTCTGAAGAGGTGGAGGAGAAGAGGCATGCAGGCCAGGAAAGTGAGTACAGAGAAAGGTGGCAGCAGAGTGAAGAGAGCAGTGAAGAAGAAAACAAGAGGCATCGCCACAGTGAAGAAAGTAATGAGAAATGGCATGAGGAGAGGAGACACCGTGATGGATCACATGAGGCGAGGAGGCAGCATTCCGAGGGAAGGATGTATCTTGGAGATGAAAGTGAGGAAGAGCTGGATAAGTATCTCAGTGGTGGCAGCAAGGAGGAGCAGCATCATGCTGGAGGGAGATACCGCTTGTGGGACAATGAAGATGAAGGGTCACAGAACGCGTACACTCAAGAGCGCAAAGGGCAGGCCAGAAGACACTACAGCACTGAGGACAGTGTAGAGCAACAGCGCTACCCTGGCAGCAGTGCGGAGGAGGAGGAAGTAGAAAGGAAGCATCACAGCAGTAATCAGATGGAAAATGAAGAGGAGAATATGGAGGAGGGAAGATACGCAGAGAGGGAAGATTACACAAGCCATCTCCCTGCAGAGAATGAGAAGAGGACTGTAGTATCCTACAGCCCTTTCTACCCACTGCTGTGGTGGAAAAGCCGGCACTTTCAGAAAAGGGACAGCACAGGAGAGCAGCTTCTGGAGGGCAAAGAGGAAAGCAGGCCCACTCTGAATGAGAAGAATCTTTTCCCTGAATATAATGACTATGACTGGTGGGAGAAAAAGCAAATCCTAAGTGCTCTGAACCATGGACCCATTGACAAGAGGAGTCTTGGCAAAATGAACAGATACGATATGAAAAGGCAGTACAACAAGATGGATCAACTTGCACAACTTCTGAATTACAGGAAGAAATCAGCTGAATTCCCAGAATTGTACAATTCTGAAGAAGACATGAAAAAACGCCACATAATCGGGAATGACAGAAGAAGTCTGAGCCAGAGGCCTCTGACAGAACAGGAGGTATGTGTACAGGTGTTTCTCTGAAAAGCTAGGGGAAGCTGACTTTACATGTGCGTTTCTAAATCCATTCCCAAGGCAGCTGGTAAACTGTGCATGGAAAAACACAAACAAGATTAAGTCATGTCAAGAGCCAGATCTTCAGCGATTTAAAAATCTGCTTTCTTTGAATGAATTCGGTGGAACTAACCCAGGGCACAGTTCATAAAGACAATGTGCATCATCATTAGCTTCTGTCTGCTGCAGGACAGGAAGAGAAAGGAGATTTTCTTCCTCTTTGGGCCCTACCTCTCCCTCTAGGGTCTTACATACTAATATAACAAAGATGCCTGTTGCAGCAGGAGCAGAGAGGTAATTGGAAGCACCACTTGGTCTGTCAGGTTGTTTAAAAGGTACAGCTGAAAAGTAAGTTGAACATTCAGAGTGAAATTCAGCTGTCCGTGGCTTCCTGGCTGTAATGCAGAGCGGAACCTGGCTTGCACTTGTAAGCCCGATTTGTGCATGTAGTTCCGATGTATGTGAATCGTTTTCTTGTTGGACTTCCTGTTCTGCATCGGTGTCAGGAGAAATGAGTCTACACCCATCAGCTAGGTGCTCCTCATGTATGTCACGGTATATCTATGGCACAAAGCTGGGCTGGGAGCAGTGGAGGTTTAATACTAATTTATATAGAGGTTAAACTGTGTTAGCAAGTCATCATAATAGACAAGAATTAGCTGCATAATTTTTTTTTTCCCCATAGCATCTGGTACTGTGGAGGTGTTCCTCTTGTTGCACCCTGTGCTTGCTGTGTGTCATAAGCCTGAACCACTGTGATCATAAGGTTATGGCCTCCTAAGGGACCTTCACTTGGGCAGAAGTGACTTGCATGCTGGAGGGGGCGGCAGCTGTGAGATAGCAGGAGGTCACTACTAGATAATGGAGCTTTAAAGCTAGAAGGATCAAGCTGTAATTAGGGCGAGCTCTCAGAATGAGTATTTTGATACTTTCCCCAGCCCTAATTTGGTTAAAAGCAGGAAAGCACACAAATCTCTGAAGTGTGTGTTGCGCTGCTTGTTAACACCCCTTACCCCATCAACCTGCCCAGTGGCCAGTAAGTAGCAGGAGATGTCTGCCTCAGAAATGGTCTTTGTCTCTCATTTTCATGGAACACAACATTTGCCAACATTATTTGATGTGTAAAATGCTCTATGTTTTCACAGGAAAAAGAACTGGAAAACCTGGCCACTATGGATTTGGAGCTGCAGAAAATAGCTGAGAAGTTTAATGACAACAGGAGAGGCTGAAGATGCTCTGCTTTGGCATTTCAAAGCTAGGTGTAGCTGTACTCAAAATACCTGTATTTTGTGGTAAATTCACTGCCACTGGATTGTTGTTTGCCCTAAAACCAGGAAATACTATTTACTGTCCACTATAGTGTAGTGATTTATACAGCTGATAAATGTCTTTAATTTGCTATTATGCTATTGAGATCTGAATAGCATGAATTTTAGTATTATAACCTTTCATGCAAGGCAGGTATTTTTAATATGCTTGTGAAAATAATTGTGTTAGTGCTCTTCAGAAATATATTTGTCTGAGTTTGAAATAATAAAAACATTGATCTTGGGCCAAACTTTCTCCTTGCTTATTTGACTGATTGGGTTATTTCAAAGTAAGCTGTATCAGATGGATAGATTGTGTACAAAATGTTGGCTTGTGGTTCACCAATATTTTTTTTAAATTACAAGGAGCCTATCTGTGCCTTTTATGTGCCAGTTAGCAAGAGCACAAGAGGTAAGAAGGAATGCCAATTAATGTGCTCTGGTAACTCAGAAATGGCCTGCGAATTATTTAGTTCTGGAAATTAGTCATTAAAGAATCAAAGAGGTTGCAACACCAAATGGATGCTTGTTAATTTGGAAAGCATGTGGTGCTTCAGAATCAATGCATTATGTAGTGGATTGGTTTTGCCACTTACTCAGACTAAGTAGTCCCATTAATTTAATCACCTACCAAACATGCTTGGCTAACATGTTCTTTCTGCCTACTACAGGCAAGCAGGTCCCGGTGAGAAGTGTTGCAGAGCCCGTGTGCTGCATTGGAGCAGGGCTGATCTTGCGCCAAGGCGAGTTTCTCAGCAGCCAGCGAGGTGGGGGCAGGATGGGCTCTGTGTACTAAATGGTACGATGCCTTAAGTGAGCAAGTGGTGTGTGGAAGGAGCCATTTGGTAATCTTACGACACTATGAAGCAGTAAAAGAAATGATCCCATAATCAGTTTCAATTACTCCAAATATCTGGGGTTCAATTTAATTAAACTTACCCAAATGTGTTTTTTAAAGACTTTCTGCTGTGACAGTATCTTCAGTTACTTGTATAACACCACACACAGGAGAGAAGTGCTATACAGAGAATTCAGCTGAGTCACATTATTAGTAAATGTGCAGTATCTATCATCTCAGCTTAACCCACTTAATCCACCTGTTCATTAAAACACAAACATACTCTCCAATTAACTGTAAGGCAATATGAACTGAAAATATTCAGTGTGCTACTGGTCCTTGAACTGTGTGAGCATGTCTATGCCTAGGGATTTTGGTAAGACCACTCAAACGTTTCATCTTGTTTGGTTAAGGTACATGAAGATCAAATCTTGGCTCAAAGAAGTTGACAGAATTTTGACTTCAGTAGGACCATGGTTTCACCAGACTTCCACCAACAGTAAGGAAAGTTAGAAAGTGTCCCAGCTGCAGAAATACTTTGCTGTCTTCAAATTCTGAGACTCTCCCTTTTAAAATTTAGAATACCCTACAGTAAGTATTGCAGCATGGTACTTTTTTCCCCCCAGCTGGTATGAGAGAAAGCATGTCTGTGAGTACGTAAATAGCTAAAAGCAAATAGCTTTAATTGTAGCACAGAAAACCTAAATTGTTCAAGTATGCAAATTTAGTAATGTTTTTTAAAAGCTAAGGTTATGCAAATACGCATTCATGAATCAGCAATGTTTTGCTTAAAAACATGTCCCTTGAAAGACTTTAAAACCAAGTATCATTCAATAGCTTTCAAGAGCGTTGTGACAGCCCTTTTATCTGTCATCTTTCTCTGTTCTGCTTGTGTTGCTCTGCGGGGCTGATGCCACGAGCACTGAGAGCCCAGTAGCTATTTTGACTGCTCCTTGCCCTTGACTGTTCTATTTTTATCTACACATTTGCATTGCCTGTTCAAGCTTTTTTTTTTTAAAAAAAAACCAGTTTTCCAATAGAATTTACACTAATTTACATTATTTAAAGGCAAATTGCGTGCTTTTGGCACCGAAGTTAGGTGGTACAATTTAAAACAAGTATTGGTATATTAAGATGTATAACCTTGTTCCAGGAAATCAAATGAAGCCGAAATGGTGGTTTTGGCTTCTGAAGAAGCATTGTCTTGCTTCTGGCTCATGCACCCCTGGATAATGGTAAATTTGATACGTAGTTTTAGTAATACTAAAACACAGGAATGGAAAGCGTGGTAACTACTAGAAATATTGCTATTTTCAGCAAATTTGCATAGTGAAGGCAGTTTTATGTTCTGCTTTGTGACTAAAGAGGAATAAAAACAGGTACCAAGTGACTTACAAGCATGGCAATACCTTTGCCTGACCAGGCCCAGACCCACCAAAGACCCGCAGTGCATTACAGAAGCAGAGGCTTGAGCGTTTCAGTTGGCTGGTGAGATTGGGTGCTGCCAACTGCTGGAGGAAGGCTGAAGTTCCTCTGAGGTGTAAACAGCACCTCACTGGGCAGATTTCAAGCTTGGACGAGTACTTCAGGAGACACAAACGTGGCCAGACATAGACAATGCACTCATTTCGACTGCAAAGTAGCAACTGCTCTTTTCTGACTGAAGGTGCCCACTTGAAGCTGTAGGCAAATTTTTGAAAGAGTGCCTACAAAATTTTTTTCAACAATCATTTGAAGGCAGCCACTGTTCAGCTAAGGTGACTGTAACCACAGCTGAGACAGACAGGTCTGATGAGCACTTGCACTGTGAGGTAACATGCCATCCCAGCGATAGCCCTTCATACAGCAAATATGCCTGTGTGGGGGATGTTGGCCTTTCAGGCTGTCCATCCAAACCCAGGTCTCTGCTCTTTCAGAAGGGTGGCTTCTGCAGAACTCAGTGGTCTAAATGTTAATCCTGCCTTAAGGACTCCACCTCTGGTTTAATACCCACTACCCTTCCCCGTTCCTTATCTACACGCCATTGACCAAAATTAGGTTATACCAATTTGTTATGTTCTATAGTTCTGAAGATCAAAGTCCCTGGACAGCCTGCCTTGAGGCTCTAGTGATGGTCAGGTTCCTGAGCTATGCTTTATGGAGACTAAATACAGGTATGTAAGTATTGCCTTCCTTTTGCTCCACCACCTTGTCCCTTCTCTTAGAGATGCTTTTCATTATGTCATTTATTTTCTACTTATGTTAAGATCTTGCAGGATGCACTCCCTTTCTTCTCATTTGTTCTGTATTTTCCCTAATTTGTTACTTGTAAAAACATAAAGGCTCCCTAGAGTTTCAAACAATCATAACTTGCATTTCTACAATGCTTCTCTCTTTAGTTACATTTATTCATGTGTTTCAATTAAAATAGGAACAATGTTATATCAAGATGCACATACAGAATATGTTCCATCAGTTTGAAATGTCAATAATTTTAAATATTTTGCATGAATTATTTCTTGGTTTCTTACTATCCTTCATTAGGACAAGCATTATGGCACATTTAAAAATTGGGGGACAGGATTCAGTACTGAGAGCGCTGGTGAAATGAAGCCAGTCTGGCTTTGATCTGAAGTAATCTTTCAGGTGTTCCAATATTGTTTATTTCTCAAAACTGATCTTTTTATTATACAAATAGAAGAGATTTTTTTTTCCCTCAGGTTATTATTTTTAGCACATTATATATGATAAGTCAGATTTAAAACATATGTTGGTTGCTTAACCTAACTTTTACTGTGTAAGTTTTTACACCTTTGTAGTGCTATAAATATGACAGCCGGGTACCTACCAGCTCAATGGAAGTGGCAGAGAAGTGCCTATGCCTGCCTGACAGGTAAGAAAACCGAGGCAAAGATAATTTTTCGGTATTAATCTCCTGGCTTACACTGACTTCATCACTTTCTTGCCTTTCCCTAGCTTCCAGGCTCCCATCCATTGCTCTAAGCTAGGTTGTCTCAGAATTTCATCACATACTGGGTGTTGGCTGCTGTCAAAGTCCCAATTTACCTTTAGTATGCATGTGTGGAGACATGTAGTAAAGGAAAACTTATCTTCCCCCCCCGCCCCCCTTTTCCCCATTAGTTCTTGAAAGAAGTTGAGAAATGCAGAATTTCAAAAAAAACTTAGTAAAAACCACACATCACCTTTCTATTCCCTACATGTGATCTGCAACACGCTGTACAGAAAGGCGAGAGGTGCAAAGCATGCTTTTCAGATCCACGTGGTTGGTGGAATACAGAGGAGACGGTGAAACCTACAATCTCTCCATTTATGCGTTCTTCATGTAAGTAAGAGAAGAAAAGCTTTCCATAAAAATAGAAAAAAAAAAAAAAAGGGAAGTTTACAAAAAACAGAAGAGAGGCAGACAAACACCTGAAGATACACTGTACCTGTTCACCTAAGAAAAATCTTTAACTGCTTCTTTACACAAATTACAGCCCCTGTTTTATGTTGTTTTGAGTTAATGGTGTCCTAAAAGAGCATTACTTTTATCAATGTACAGAATTTTACAGCTTTATGAAGTCTGATTACTTGATCCCAAAGCTCCAGCTTCCCCCTGACGAGTAAGTTCAGGAATGGAAGCCAAGTCCTGCTGGCTCTACCAGCTCCCATACGGGCGTAAAGCTCCCCACTGGGGGTTCAGTGGGGTGCAGCCAGCCAGGGTATGCTCCTCCTAAAGCCTCTGCTAGACCCTTTTATTTCCAAAAAGAGGACAAAAGTAAGAAAAAGAAAATAAATCTCATTAGGAAAAACATCCTGCAGTTTAATTGAAATGGCAAATGCAAAGTTAAAAAAAATTAATAAAAAAGCTACACATCATTAAAGATAAAACAGTAGAATAAATATATATACATATAGCAGTTTTCAAAATAGTCATATCTTAAAATAAAAACATACAACAACTCCCAGGAAAATGACAGGCAATACTAATAAAGACATTCTGTTTAAATATTTGGTATTTTAATTTATGAACATGCACTTTCTCTTCTGTATTTATTTCAGGAAAACATGATGTCATGCTGTAAAGTTCTGGTCTTATTCTCTTTTTATTGTTCCTTTGGAAAGAAAAGTGTATGACTTTCGCTGTTCATTCTACTTCCTTAAACTACTGAACGCAGCCGGGTTCTGTGTCCAAAGGGGGAGCAGATCACTACACAGAATGTTTTACCCTGATGCTGTTCTGGGAAAATGGGGAGCTAAGTTAGATGTGTTGATTCGGGCTCAACCTTTTAAAAAACTACTTCGTCATATCCACTTTTGGCAACAAACAAACAGAATGCCTTCACTGATGTTCTATCTTCTCTTGATCTTCTCTTCTTTTTGAAGTTACTGTGTTTTCCGTGTGACATTTGCTTCCACGGGACACTT